ATAGTACGTCTCGCTATGCATCTGTCCCTTTGCCAACCAAGCCAGCACAGCGCTGGGCCCTGAGAAGAAGGTTGTAGAATTTCACAACCCCGCCCAGATCCTCTCCTGATTAGGTCTCAAGATGATTAGGTTAGTTACATACATTCCCCTGTGTGGTTCCTGGCTCTGAGACAATATAACATAATTAATCTTCTTTGAATTGCATTTGCAATTTTGATTTCACTCCACTTTTAAAGGTCTGAAAGTGTGGTAATACTCCTTTCAAAAATGTTGATTTCTTTCCTAGGCTTAGTTCTTTGGCTCCCTTGTATACTTAACTCACAACTGCCTTGTAAATGTGGAGGCCCCCCAAAAGACCAAGATCCTTTGGGTTCAAACTGTGGTTTTAAATACTTTTTCATTTTGACCTTTGCCATAATGTTGAATTTGCCGTGTTGATGAACGTCTCAATGCTTAGCCTTGACTGAGGAGCACCATGTTCTGTGTACAATATGTGCTTTTGAGGGAGAGAATAATAACACCATCTTACAGATGAGGAAAGAGAATCAGTACGTTTGGGATATGCCAAAATCACCAGTGGACAGAGCCATGGCTGTCTGAGGCTCGTCGGTTCTTTCAAAAGCTCTTCATGTGTTACTTTTTAAGGTTCACAAGAAAATGCTGACTAGAGTGTAAGTTCTACTGAAAGTGGAAATCTCACCCTATGCATTCTTCAGCACTTTCTAGAGAGTGCCCTGTAAGAACCATCAGTTGGCTGTGCGTGTTCTGTAAAACAGCCACCGTCACCAAGCTTTTGGACTTAACTCTCAATTTAGTCACCTTAAGGTAGGGTCATAGGAAGAGTTAAAGAGGACTGAACTGAAGAAGAAGGTTCCTGTTCCTCTATGTATTCCTAATACATGGTAGCCTTTCATCTCCCCACATCTGTTGAATGTGGACAGCCATCAGGGGTCCTCCAAACAACTTCCTAAATAAAGATGGTAGCTGCCTTACATCTCATCCTTCCAATGACACTGTGCAGCCCTTGAAGCCCAGGACTCTTTCCTACACTTGAATTTGCCCCCTGGCAGGGCCTGGGGCTGCACCACACCAGTTGATGTTCAGTACTGGGTTAAATGCAGCTTGGGGTTTCCAGCCTTTTTGTTGTTGGGGGGGAGATGGGGGGAAGGCAGAACAGGTTTTCTCTGTGAAACAACTCTAGCTGTTCTGGAACTTACTCTATAGACCAGGTTGGCCTCAAACTCATAGAGATCCACATGCCTCTGCCTCCAGAGTGCTGGGATTAAAGGCGTGTGCCACCCCAATCCCCAGCATCTCTGGGCATGATTTCCATTCTTAGCAACCTACATTTGGGCAGGACAGAATTTTCTACTGCAGAAAATGAAGTGGTTTTTAGGAAGTCAGGTCTAACCAGTCATCCAGTCATTTTTCAATAAACATTTTGTATTTAACATACAGCTATTTTACCAGGCACCAGGAACACCATGCTGAGCAGCATGGAGATTATACTCTAAAGTCCATAGAAATGCAAGTGGCTTACAACAAACTGACCAACAGCCCCTGCTTCTCCTTCCACTTAGCTATGATCTTGTCCTCTATTTTGTATTTAACACATGTCCTTTGCCTCCCAGCTCTCTATCCTTTCCCTACATTTTCTTAATTCATCTATTCCTCTCCCCATCTCTTTTCCTTAGTAAAGATAATATACTAATAGTCTACTCAACTCAGTATTGACTTCTGGTTACCATATTTTTTTTTTACTTCCCAACTACTGGCCAAAAGTTTGTTTGTTTATTTATATTTTTATTAATATGTAAAAGGAGCTAGCAATACTTGGGCACTTTCAGAAACCAGATATCCCATGATAGCTACTAAAACTGTGCGAGGGGATAGCATTTCATTCAGTACCCTACAGGAGCTATTGGGTTGAAATCTAGAGCACAGTGAACAATCATTTAAGTATCACACATTAGCCAAAGAACTCCATGTTAACATCAGCATATTCTAGAGGACTGGTTGATATTATTGAAGCTTGGGTGGGTTTCTGAAAAAGATCCCTTGAAAGAGATCAACCTAGCAGAATTGCCACAAAAAGGAAAGATGAGATGAGCAAGAGAACTGGTTTGCAAAGAGACATGAGAGTCGAAGTACAAGACTGACAGGTACCCCCAGCTTCCTGCAGAAGGTCTGGAGAAGTTAGGCTGAATCCCCTGTGCCTCTGTTGCCCTATCTGCTAGCTTTGGCACTATCAGGAAGCTTTTGGAATCGACCTCAGTGAGATTCTTCATGTGTAAGCCTGTCATCCACTTACACTTATTTCACACCTTTGAAGAAAAGTTCCTTGCTTTACTTACTGTATGCATTACTTTTCTTGTTGCTGGGATAAAATGCAAGACCAACACAATGGAAGGAAGAAAGGTTTTCTTTGGACTCACAGTGTGAGGGCACAATCCATTGTGGTAGAGAAGGCCTGATGACAGGTGTGGGAGGGAACTGATGTCATTGCATCCACAGTCTGGAAGAGGAGAGGGGAGTGTCTAGGAAGTTTGGAGCCTAGTCCATGGGACGGTGCTGCTCACATTCAAGCTATATATTTCCGTCTCGGATCAACCTCTCTGGGAACATCTTCTCTGAAACATGCAGAGGTCTGTCTCCTGGGTGATTCTAGAGCCCATCAAGTTGGTAGTCAAATTTAACCATCAACACATACAAATATCTAAACTTGCAAGGTATATCAACTCAGCAGGCAGTTCAAAACTACATTTTGAAAAATTATTTGCTTAAAAAAAGAAAAGATTCTCCAGGTCTGACTGTTACCTCTGGAATAATGAATAGCATCTGAAGGCCTTTTTGTTGTTTTCAATCAAGGAAGTTGCTGGATAATCTGTAGTCCAAGGGACAGACCCTGCAGCCAAGAAGGAAAAATACATTTGAAGGCCAACTCTGCCCAAACAAAGGCCTGATAGACACAGCATTTGTGCTCACTGAAATGGCCTAAAAGAGCATCAGATGAGTGGGCAAGTTATGAAGCAGTTTTGATAAAGATGCGGTGGAATGGACATCCTGGTTTTTGCTACAACTTTCCTAATGGTGCTTGCCACGTTTTCCAAAAACCTAAAATAATTCTTCTTGTTTACTCAGGAGACAATTTTGATCAATCTTATAATAAAAATAAATAAAATCCAATCTTATAGAAGTAACACTGAATATGTGAGGGAGTGACACACAAAAAGTATTTCTCGTAGCTTTATGAATGACGGGAAACACTGAAGACTGCATAGAGGACAGTTGAACACATCCCATTTGAAAGCTGTTTTGTAACTCTTCTTATTGATGTTTGTTAGCATTTTTAGTGATGTGGAAAATTATTAGCTGTAGTTTGAAGAGAAGGGAGAAAAGGAACTGAGGAGAGATGGCTTACTCAGGAAAGTGGTTATTTCACAAGTGTGAGGGCCTAAATCCTATCTCCAGCATCCGTTAGGTGGCACACACTAACTCCCAACATGGAATAAGACAAAAATAAGATCACTAGTGCTTGCCAGCTAGTCTAACCTAACTGTGAGCTTCAAGCCAATGAAAGACTCAAAAGATGTGACAGTGTTCCTCAGAATGACACCTATGATTGTCCCCTGGTTACCACATACACAGGCACGTACTTGCTCAAATATGTATGTACACAAACACACACACACACACACACACACACACACACTACAAAGAAAAGGAATATATATATTATATATATATATAATATATATATATATCACAAAAGCAAAATAAATTGGGGAATGAAAGATTGAATAGAGTGAGAAAACCATCCATATTCATTGTTTTTCAGAAGTCCTGATTGATATATAGCATTTCAAGCACACTATAAAAGTTGGCTGATATATGCTTAGATGCAGTGGCATATTGTATTGTCTGGTGTGTACCATCTGAGATTTCTTTCACATATGTTAAATTTTCCTGAATTGAAAATGTAAGGCAAAAAGTTCTTCTCAACATTCTAAGGATATGGTTATGCTATACGAGAAAATTAAACAATGGAGCATACACGCATGCACTATTGATGGGACTGTAAATTGAGACAGTCTCTCAGGATGTTACTCTATTGGTGTATATGCCCTTCAACACAGCCATTCGACATTATCTTAGAAACACACTAGACTACTTAAGCAAAGCAGAATGTACCAAGCTACCCATTGTACCCTGGTTTGAATGGAAAGCATTGCAAGTACACTAAGTTTCCAGCAATGGTGGAATGATAAGTACATTAATGAACTGAGCATCACTAATCTTATCAGTGGAAGTGATTTGTATTTGCATCTTAACATTGGTTGTAAAACTAGTAAAATCCCCTTAAAAGCAATTGACTGGAGGATTTGGAATATGGCTCAATAGGTAAGGTTTTGCTGTGCAAGTAAGAATGCTGGGGTCAGACATTCGGTACCCACATAAAAAATAGCCAGGAGCGGCATGCATTTGTAAGCCCAGCACTGGGAGTGGTAGAGTCGGGCAGGTCCAGGGAGTTGCTGGCCAGCCAGCCTAGCCAAAAGGACAAGCTCCAGGACCAGTAAGATGCCTGCCAATAGATAGATAGATAGATAACTAGATAGATACATAGATAGATAAAGTAAATATAAGAGAGCAATAGAAGATGACACCTAATATCAGCCCATGGCTTACACATCACACACACACACACACACACACACACACACACACACACACACACACACGGGGGAGGGGGCGTTATTTAATAAAAGTAATAAATATCAAACACAGTTGGACAAGTCACAGCCTGCCTTGGCTAGCAGTAGAATGCCACTTAAACTCTCTAAGAATCCTGAAATAAGAATCCACTGGCTTTAATCACTAGTAATTGTTGCAGCCCAAACCTGAATTAGCTTCACTGCTATGGAGAACTTGTAATTCTCAAGACAGCCATACTGTCTCTGGAGAAATTCAATCTTTTTTTTTTTTTTTTTTTTTTGTGTGTGTGTGTGTGTGTGTGTGTGTGTGTGTGTGTGTTCAGTGATTCCAAATTCACCATGTTTGTTTCCTCAACTTTATTTCAAAACTTTTTTCTTGCAAGCAATTTTTAAAAGTTATCTGCCCAGATCCCCACTTAACTTCTTCCATTTAAAGAAATTAAACAGTGCAGCATCACGTTGGGTCACTTGAGGTGAGAGCTGGGTGGGGGAGGGAATCGGCACATCATTTTTGTCTTGCACGCAGAACGAAGGAACAACTGAACACCGTACTCAGAGCTCCCTCTCTCTTCTCCTTAACCTGTAGGTCACATCCTGTCTTCCCTTTTCATTGCTGCTGACATCCTGATATCCCTAGCCAGGTCCTTTGCAACTATCTATTTCTTACCCCCGCATTAATTTAGCAGTCAGCTAAATCCAAGTCACAAACTCCCCCTCTTAGGCAGCAGGCAAGGCTTAACTCTCGAATTCCTGGAGTGTGGAATGTGATGGAGCATCGTTCTTCCTCACCACAAAGCACACCTCAGAATTTTTCTTTTCCTATCCAAGACATCCACCTCCATGTATTCTTAATGTCCATTTCTCTTGCTTCTTACAGGATATTCCTCTGCGTTCTTAGCTTTGTGGCCTCTAGCCTGCCTCCATCATTTAAGAGAATGACCACTTCTCTATGGCCACTCTACTCATTTCAAGGCAATCTTAAAAATCAGTATATCCAAATCAAAACCAACTGAAACACAGAAAACTGTCTCTTCTCTTCAGTTTCCCTAAAGCCATTGTCTTGTTTGTTCCTTTGTCACTGCTACATAAGTAGTATTTCAAGCACTTCCTTGTCCTCAACACTATGCTCGGAAGTGACTTAGAGTAGGCCGTGGCATGTGAAAATCACACAAGATACAGTCTGCTGTTTAAAAGCCTAGTCGAGCCAGGTATGATAGCATATACCTGTAATCTCAGCATGAGGCAGAGTAAGTAAGAGGGGGGTGAGTTCCAGGTTAGCTCAGGCTACGCAGTGAGACTAACTCAATAAAGCAAAACAAAACAATAACAACAAAAGGGAACCTCTTTTTCTACTTTAGATTGCATGTACACAGCACACTTCTTGGGAAAGGCCGCCCCCAATTTGTTGCCTGCAGCTTCTCACCTTCCCCTCAACCACAGTCATCAAACCTCAATCTACTTCAAACATATCAAATATCTCCTTACAGCATCATCAACACTGGCAGTTTTCCTTTTCTTTGATTATCCTCATTTTAGTTGTTTGTGATTTTGAAGTATTTCCTTGATCCAACTGAATTCTCATACACAGAGTATAAAGAAACACCCCACCCTCACACTCAACTCTGACCCCACTTAACCAGGCATGTGGAAGAGAATCTGATTTCCCTGACATCACTCAGCAAGTACATGACAAAGCTGGAACTCAGAACCAGATCTTCAGAGTGCAAAGCTTCCACACTTCTCACTTGCGTGGACCTCTCCATCAGGCCTTGCACAGTGGCACAATGAGTTACTGATGTGTCCACATCACTGCATATACATACAGGATGCAGGATGTATTTGGAAACTCCTTTCTGCTTTGATCGAATTCTAGCTAGTGCAGCCAGGCTTCATGTAGCACTCAACATGGAATTACTTCCCAATAACAGTTGTCATGTATGTTTGCACACAAAAAAGTCTGATCATAGGCACCTGAGAAGCAAATGTAAGGTAATTGTGCTGAAATATTGACATTAGAATTCATGTTATAAAAGTACCTTGTCCACAACCTTGGATTTATAATTAGGATCGTTGGGTGCATGAGTAACTTAACAGCCTCAATTTAAAAAGCAAGTGACCCCTCATTAGACTGTATTCTTCTGTAAGAGAGTGATGCTTGAGTGAAGTTATAATTTACAAATAATCACCTTCAATGAAGTGTTTTTGAGTAAACAGAGAAGTTGGAGGACCTTAAATACCCAAACTTAAATTGCTGCTCAACTTTTATAACCTTTAGTGAATAGAAACTTTCCTACCTTTGCTAAATTCTGAACAGTCTGAAATTCTTGTGACCCTGGCAGCATCTTAAAATGTCTAAGTCAGTGCTCCATCACTCAGTTCCTTTCTCATAACCGTCATGAGCATAGCTGATCTGGAACTGCTGTCTTCTCTAATTTCTTTGCAGGTAACTTTTTTTTTCCCCAACTGCCTACATCTGTTGTCCCGGGAAAATTGTTGCCTGATAGAGGTATTCCTCCACCTGCTATTTCTCAAGTAAGAGGCATAAACACATCTGGGTTTTTCTCTCCTAAGCAATCCCTTGCTCATAATCCTAATTAGTCCAGTCATTTACCTTCATTCTGTGCCATCATTTTGTTCATTTTGTGGCCGTTTGAAATGTTTTTGGAAACCTGCTGCTTATTGTTTCTTCACTCTAATATGTAACTTTCCCTTCATTTGGCTTGTTTACATAGCTTTCTTCCTCCTTCACAATTTCTTTGTAAATTGATATTTTTATGTCTTTTCCATATGTCTGCATAAATTGTCTAAGATCTCTGGTAGGCACTTATTTATTCGAGCTGCCCTCCTTTCTTTATTTTTACTTCTATGGAGAAGTCTGCCATGCTTTGTCCTGTTTTTGGAAGGTTATTACTAAAGTGAGCCAATTCTTTATTTTGCAGTCAGTCCATGAAATAGACTTCCACTCACTAGATAATATCACAACCCTAACCTTGGTGTTTAGCTAAGGGATGGAAAAGCCAAGAAGAACAAAGGTCATGGAAACAAAATGCCATAGAGTTCTTACATGGAAGGCAAGTTGGCGTGTAATAGGGTAGGTGGGATAGCTGGGAAACCAGAACTCAAGAATAGTTTGTAAAGATAGCAACCAGGTTCTAACTGACTCTTTCTGAATTTTGAGGGAATGAGCACTGGTGAGATGGCTTCCTCAGGAAGGTTCTTAGGAGCCTTGGGCTCTAGGAGGAATTCTGGGATGTTGCTGGCCAAGCTGATAGGAGCAGACGTACCCGCTCTGGCAGAAATGAGGAGCTTATTCAGGTAAATTCTTGCTTCTTGTTGGTTGAATGAGGGAGTCAAGAGCCAATGTGAAATGAGAGAGCAGGGGCACATATGTGAAACAGGAGAAAGGGGAGCATTCATCATTTCTAACTTATGAGAATTCTTCACATTTTTATATGGATCCATGTCAATGATGTCTATTGCCAAAATTTTCCCCCAAGTCATGTCTTCGGTTTAGCTTTGCTTTGTTTGCTCATGAAATGACTTGATGAACCCAAGTTCTTAATTTTAGAGTAGTCAAATCTGTCAATCTTCTCAAAGTTAGCACTTTATATTTTACTGTAAAAACTTAAAGAGATTCACCTATATTTTCTTTTTTGAAGTTTTCAAGTTTACCTTTTGACTTTTAAGTTCTCAATCCAGCTATAGTTGATGCTGGTAATCCATATATATTCTTCCTGACTCAGCTTATTTAATAGTTTCTCTTTTTGCCAGTGATCTTCCATATTACCTCCAGATGCAAACTCACAGTTACACCAATCCATTATAGAGCCTCTGTTCTTTTCCACTGGTCAGTTTAAAAACATTCCAGACCATTGCCCCTATTAGTTAATATTGTTAATTATAATAGCTTCAGAACATTGCATTATATCAAGTGCAATACTAACTATAAAACAGTTTGTTATCATAGGTAGTATGGATAGATGAATGGATAAGTTTTGAGTGGGGTAGTGGTGAACCCAGGATTAATCTAATTCTATGAACTTGAAGACTGAAGGTTACCGTGGGTGAGGAATACAGGGGATACTATTGAGTACAATTTAGGTTTTTGAAATCCAGATTTTGATTTGTTTTTTCAAAATCATAATTTCATTGGTTTGTTTTAATAGTAATATTTAAAGCTAGCTGTAATAGCCCACACATAAAATTCCAGCACATAGGAGAGTAAGACAGGACTATAAGTCTGTGGCCTGCCTGATCTATACAATGAGATCTTGCCCCAAAGTAAACAAAACAAAATCAATAATAATGTTTTAAAGAATATCATACTTTAGGTTATAGAATGATATTGAGGAGAACAAAGTAAACATACAAAAAAATCTGTATCAACCTAATAAAAATGAGACAATTCAACTAAATCACAATTCTAAGAAAACCTTGTTACCTGTCTCTTACCCTACCTTGTAAAAGGAGAGGCATACACTGTGTCATAAAAAAAATACCTAGCGACTACCCATCAGATAGTTGAGGCACTAGTGTAGAGCTAAATGGTAGAGAATATCATAGAAGAATTACATGTTTTTCAATCCTTAGTTCAAACAAATTTTATTATTTATTAGGTAGGTGCTAGGGATTGGACTCAGGTCACCAGGCTTGTGTGTGTGTGTGTGTGTGTGTGTGTGTGTGTGCGTGTGTGTGTGTGTGTGTGTGTGTGTGGCAAGTGCTTTTAACTGCTGAGCCATCTTGTCAGCCTCCACACAGTTTTATAGACCAAAATTCTTCAACCTGGGCCCAAAAAGTTTGCATTTACAATTCTATATGGTTAATCAAAGTATACAGTTTCTATACTATCATGAAAGTAGATTAAAAGTGTTGTATGATATTTTGTGTTCTGACAAATAAAGCTTTCCTGGAGATCAGAGGGTAGAGCTAGCTACTGGTAAACTATTGAGACCAGGCAGTGGTGGCTCACACCTTTAATCCCAGCACTTGGGAGAAGGAAGCAGGAAGGTCAGGAGTTCAAGGCCATCCTGGGCTACACAGGATTGAACCAGTCTAAAAGAGAAACAGAAAAAGGTGGTGGTGGTACATGCCTTTAATCCCAGCACCTGGGAGGTTCACACCTTTAATCCTAGCACTGGGGAGGTGGAGACAGGAATAAAAGGCGGGTGGAGACAATATCTTGCTCCCTCCCCCCATTTTGGTTCGAGGATTGAGAGCCATAATAACTCCCTGGGAGCTACTGCTCTGTTTTTCTAATCTTTCAGCTTTTACCCTGATATCTGACTCCTGGATTTTATTGATAAGACTAATTAGGATCATGCTTCACAAAAGTCAATAGCTCTTATCAGTAGTCCAGTGGAAAAGACACACTCTGCTAGAGCTTGGGAAGAGTTATGCAGGGAGATACAGGAGTCAAGAAGGCACAACCCCTGGTGTTCTAGTTGTCATTCAAGCTGAGAATTTAAATGAACCAAAGAGAAAGTTGTCAGAACACTCAGAGTAATAAGTGTGAATTAACTCAGTGCAAACTGTGGGCATTGGTGTTGAGCAAATGTGGGCAGAGTACCAGATGCCCCTGACGACAGTGAGAGACACCAATGCTTCTTGAGAATGTTCTCATCTTGTTGGAAGTATTGTCATAGCTTCTTATGATTGTGCAAACTGTGATCACAGCTCATTGGCGAGTCACGATTAACACCGATTTAAATAGATAGTATCATTAGATATATGATATCCATAGATCCACCTCTATAGGTTAATATTTCTTCAATTTTATCTATAATTTACAGATTTTATTATAGACCTAGTTGCCTGTATTTTTATGAGTTTTCATAGCAGGGGAAACAGAGTATGCACAAGGCATATGCTCTCTATAAGAAACAAGTATCAATCTATTAAACCTCTATTTCAGTTCATACAAAGTTTTATCTATATATGTATGTATTGACTATAATGTAAACTATATTTCTTACTGGGATTTGGGAGCAACAGTAAACAGAAGAGTCTGCAGCTAGCTGCAGAGACCAGTACGAGAACAACCTTTGTTCTGTCCCACTGCGAGAGTTTCTCAAGGCCAGGCAGCAATCATTCCTTTCACAGATTTATACTTTGTTGCCCATCTTTGCAGTTTGCAAGCAGGTGGCAATCTTTGTTTAAAATAACCCCTTTCTTGTAGCCATCCCTAAGGTTGAGAGTTCTCCATGTGGCTTCCCAAATATTTATAGCTTAGCCATAAATATATCCATGTAGAAGCTGTCCCATCTTTCAAGTCTTTGTCCTGCCTACTCAACTTGGAGCAACCCTCTTCAGCAATAAATAGTGTAAGAATCCCGTTGTTCCTGCACATTGTGTGATTTCCAGTCTGACAGAATATTGTCGTAAGGAGTTCTGCAGACACCGGCCAATCTCATGCTGTGATTTCCAAAATGTGCATGGCTTATTTCGCTGTTATTGCATAGAAGAGCGTCTGCTCACAAAGGGTATTGCATAGGCAATTATCTAGCCTAGAAGGGCAAATCTGTAATTATTCTGTAACAACTGCTTGAATCCTCTATTTCCTAGATAAACTCAGCAAGGTTTCGAAATTGAGAAAACAATATTTTGGACCAATGAAGTTGAAATTGTCAGCACTTTCTCCCTGGGCTCATTTTTCAAAAGTTCTTGAAACAATAAAAAAATAAATCTTCGCTGAAACAGGAAAATTGATTTTATGTATGGAATCTAGTCACGTTAGTTTCGTTTGTTTGTTTGGTTGGTTATTTTCTTATCTTTTTTTAAGTACTGTGAGCAAAACAAAACCACCCAAGAACCTTCATAAGGTCAGCCTCTGAGGTCAGTTCTGCACATTTCAAATGTGCACATACTTAGTGGGCTTCTTCTGAATGAGGAACAACCCAGAAGAGTCAAATAATTAGAACAAAGAACCAACCAAAGGCAGCAGGCCAATAGGTTAGAGACTGAGTGCTCCATTCTCCCCATTATGAGGTGTTTCCAACTTCAGTGAGAACTCTCTCCGGACATTTTGTGTGCACCTAAGTGAGCAGGAAATGTTCCTGTAGGTGATGAACAGAGCATGAAGCTGCAGTGATGCCAATTCTCTGCTATGGGAGTGTGTATCCGAGGCAAATAACTTATGGGATAAGGGCTCTTAGCTAAAGCTAATATGTAGGAGATATTCCAAGGTATGCTTTTCAGTTTTATTAGTGAGTTTTTCATAGACATGAGGCAGAAATTAAGGAGACTTTGACAGTAACATTAAGTTTATTCTATGATTGTATAATAAAGTAAGCTTTTTGAGGTGATTAGGAAAGGATACATATTCATCAAGGATGCTCCACCTGTAGAGGAGAGGCCTTTCCTTGTCTTTGGTGTGTGCTTCTCATGCACATTCCCAGCAGAGGCATTTCATAATTCTTCCTTATTGTTTTCACGAGACATTCCATCATCCTGTGTCCAAGTGAGAGAGGCTGGTGAATGTCCTCTAGATTGTCCTTGGAATGATCTCAACATACTGACATTTACAATAATATCTACACAGTTATGTCTGGAGTACTTAAATTGATAGGAATTACTCACATTGTAGAAGGTGAACCACCACAGCGTTTTGTTCTGTGAAGACATACTTAGGTTTCTCAGAATCTAAGAAATGTGAGATGCTTATTAAAAATAAGAATTCAATTCTCCATAGGAGAAGGCTTGGTACATTCATTATTAGGACTAACTGTAGAAACCATTTTTTGAAAGACAACTTTCCCTCTGAATTATTTGTTACTTTTTTGCAGATATCAATATTCCTGTAAGAGATTATTCTATAGTTAAGGATTAAAATTATATGCTTAAGGGGCTGACTCAGCACATAAAAGCACTTGTCACCAAGCCTTCTGACGCAAGCTTGATCTCGTGAAACTATACAGTAGAAGGAAAGAGTGCACTCCTGCCAGTTGTCCTCTGCTCTCCACATGCTCATCATGCCTTGTGCTCAAGTGCATGCACTATATACATAAGAAATACATGAACAAATTTAAATACCAAATTTAAATATTATACACTTAATAAAATATATCTAATGTCTCCCATTTATTCTTGGGCTTTTTTCTTTGAAGCTTACATATTCCATGACAAGATGTTGGATGAAGCATAGAATGTCTTGAGTCTTGTCTGCTGTGCCTGGTTATGAACAGGTAAAACTGATATTAAAGAAACCACCCAGTATCATCTTTGATACCGATGAGCACTGTGACTGTGGCATTCATAGTGTGCACAACAAATGAGCAGTACCTACCACTCCAGTTCCATAAATAAATTACCAACAAATAGGGAAGGTTGCTTCTTGTTAGTGGAGAGCCACTCAAGAATGGGTTCTTGATTTTCTGTCTTATAGGCCTTCCCTTTTTAGAGTGCTAGGTTCTTGTATTTAAAGAAAACACACATCTGTGTTTATACCAGATGGTATGTTGACGCTTCCTATTATTATTCATTCTTCTGTCCATTGCTACAGATGTTACAAGTGTCTTTTACACTTTCCCCCACTCCCACAGACTGAAAATAGAACCCAGCTTTAAACATAACATTAAAGGAAGAAGCCGAGGGAGATGGAAGGGAGAAGCTGGTACATTGTAAAATTATCTTTGGCGTTCCACCACTTGGTCACTTTGACAAAACAATGAACTTGCAGTATAGTCAAAGCAACTTTTTGTTGCATTAGATAAACGTGAAAGGAATTGCCTTACTTTCAAAAACTTTACGTTATATAGCATTATATGTACAGAGAATTTTAAATCCCACTTGAAAAGCACTGATGCCTTTTTCAAGTTCTTATTTAGTTCTGTTTTGTTGTTGTTGTTGTTTCAAAATCTTATGTGTATGGCCATTTTTCTGCATAGAAGTCTGTGCACCGTGTGTGTGCAGTTCCCAAGGATACCAGAAGAAGGTGTTGGATCCTCTGAGACTAGAGTTCAGACCATTGTGAGCTGCAATGTGGTTGCTGAGAATAGAACCTGGGACATCTGGAAGATCAGCAAGTGGTCTTAACCACTAAGCCATCTCTCGAAGCCCTGTATTCATCTTATGATGAACAAATATTCAACTCATGTTTTTCTAACTCTCCACAGTTCAAAGTTTAACTTAATGATATTTATCTGAAGTCAAGCCAAGGTTATAAATTCCATTACTAGAGAATACTGACAAAACCCAGAAATGAGGCTTTACATGGACCCAGGGTGGACCCATTTGTGCAGGGGCTTAAGTCAACAGATAGTGGATCCCCACTGGCTACATTCCTAGGGTTTGCACTGCTCTATTCCCTCTCTAGATCAGGGCCAAGACATAGACTTTGCCTTATCCTCGGCTTCAGTGATTCATTGAATAATATTTATTGAGGGTCTACCATGGAGATTGCATTTTCAAAGTAATTTTCTCACTTTCACTATTTTATTTATTCTTAGATGATATCATACAGGTATAAATGCATTTTGATCATATTCATCCTCCATTATCTTGTCCAATTCTTCTCCCACTCCTACTGAACCCTTTTTCTCCAGTAGTCTGCCTTATGCTTTCAAGTCTTTTCTTGGTATGACCCAATGAGTTTAGTGAGGGTTGCTCTCATGAGCATGGAGCAAATTCATAGCATCAGAATTTGGGAGAACTTTGGAAAACGAGCAAATGAAATAAACAACACCAACAAAACAAAACTTCTTTCCAAAAACAGTCATCCTGAGTCTTGAGAATGGATCATAGTCCATTCTCGATAAAAACTGTTTCTAATGAGGAGGAAATTAACTCAAGGATGTTGCTAATTGTCGGGCCTAGACTTAAGAGCATGAGCTGCATCTGAAAGATTCCTAAGGGAAAGAGAAGCCAAGCACAGTTTTTGTAAATGGTATTTTCATCTAATTGGCCGGTGGAAAAGTAGGGGGTTGCTTTAAAATGGTTTTATGTAACTAACATTTTCCAAGGTTTACTGTAACAAGAGGAAAGGAAAGTGACATTGCATGAGATCGCAGAATAAAGGGCTTCTATCATTGAGCCACTGTTCTTGGAAAATTAATAGACTCCAAAATCAGGCAAGATGATTAATACTGGCTTTCATCTGATCTATCAGCCACAGTGACAGGCACAGCATGCCCCTGACGTTTCTTGGCATTGCCATTTAATGAAAAAGAGAGAGCTTAAAAGAAGGTAATGGAAGGGAGAAAAAATACACAAACCTGTATTGGGCCAGAAACTTCTTGATTGACGTGCTTAGCTTTTTATTTTTAATACTCTATCAGCTCTTGGTAGGTGGACATTTTCTTTCTAAGACTGTGGAATAAGAAGTGTTAGTTTTTTAGAGTACAGATGACAATTTTATAGACGAAAGTGATGGACAGTTTCATATTTCTAAAGGAAATGACATTTGTAAAGATATAAATAATGACGATAAGAAGAGTAGGGGAGAGTGGATATGCTGATCGTGGGTTGATCTACAACAAAATCACCATGAAATTTTGGCTAAAATAAATCAGTTTTGGAAGACTGAAAGGCTGGAGAGAAGGTGGTTAAGAGTGCCCTGGCTTGTGTTCTTGTTCTATCCAGTCTCGAGGTCTGAAAAGGATAAGATTGGAACCTGAAAAATTAACCTTCCTAGGTCCCCTGTCTCTTTGATCACGCCAAAGCAGAGAATTCTAGACATCATACAGTTGGGCGGGGGAATGATAGCTTTGTCAACGAGAAGGATGAAGTATACGAGCTCCCGTGTGAAATGTTGACACACTATGGGAACCCACAGCTGTTGTAGAGTCAATCCAGCATCATGCCCATTTTTCTTAAGGTTCTTCCCCTAAGTTGCTTGCCTTAATTCAGAAATTGAGTTCACAGTGGTTTAGATCCACTGAATGTTTTCAATGCCACCTCTCCCTGGCTCCTGTCCCACTTTATAGTCTCATTCTGCCCCTTGTCAGCACTTCCCTCTGAGCCTGATCCAAGGCTCTTATCTTACCTAATTCTTCTCTGAGAGGTTTCTTCAGAGACCATTGCTTCTTCTCCATCCTGCATAGCCACCCTCCAGGGGATTCCTCTGAGCACTTCAAATGGGGATGTGCTCATTTTTGTGGAGAAATTTCTTATCCTGAGGTTGGATGTCCACATATGTCCCTCAGTACTTGCCCTTAGAGTACATTGTGATTTCATTAAACTTTTGCCATATGCCCTGTCTCATCATTCACATTAAACACATAGTCATTCTTCCAAAATCTTAGCATGGGAAGAACATCTGATATAAAGAACATCAGATATAAAGCACTTGGCATGGTGGTGCCAAGTGCTTTGATAGATGCAAGGCCAAAGGCTTTAGGACCCCTTGTGCCAGCCTGCCTGACTAGTTTGTGTGAGAAATGCATCATAGGATTGGCAGCTGTGCTGGTTCGTTTTAACTGTTAACTTGACACAACCAGTGTCCCTGGAGAAGGGAGTCTTAGTGAGGAATTATCTCGGTCAGGTTGACCTGTGTGGTCTTTGAGGGGGATGGGCAGGATTGTTTGGTTGGTAATTGAGGTAGGAAGACCCACTCTAGATGTGGACAACACCATTTAATGAGCTGAACCCTGAACTGCTGAAGAGTGAAGAAAGCTGTCTGAGCATACCAGAAAGTCAACATGGACACCTTTGTTTCTCTTGGCTCTTTACTATGGATGTGCTGTGACATGCTCCTTCAAAATCCCGCCACTGTGACTTCCCTACAGTCATGAACTGTAAGCTGGAATTCTGAGACAAATAAACACCTTCCTCCTTTAACTTCCTTTGAATCGGAGTATTTTATTAGAGCAACTATAATAAATACAATATTCTAACAAAAGTGGAACTAGGGCGGGAGGTCACATGGCACTATTAAAAGAAAATATTATGCCTGAATCTCTTGCTGTTGCTCAGTGTATTAGCTACTTACGTCATTGCTGTAACAAAGTACTTGACAGAAGAAGAGTTCATTTTGGTTCACATTTTGGTGTGAGAACAGAGTCCATCATGGCACAGCCGGAAGGGTGGCACGAGGTGAAGCGGCTGCTTATGTTGCTACTGTGGCCCAAGAGCAGAGGGGGAGGTGAACGCTGATGTTCACCTGGTTTCTGTCTTTGTTTCTTTCTTAGACTGGGATCCATGTCCCTATGTCAGCAATACCAACATTCAAGGGGCTCCCCTTTTCAGTTAAGTCTCCCCAGAAACACCTTCATAGACATGTCCACAGGTGTGTCTCCCAGGTGATTATAAACCCCATTAAGTTGTCCATGCAGTTCAGCTGTCACATTCAAAGACTGTTTACAGAGTGTTTGCAATAGGCTGGACATTATTCTGTGTACGGTATAGCTTGATCACAAGACAAAAAAGAAAAACGTTACTGTTTTCACAGAACCTATGTTCTAGCGAAGGCAAAACTCCACTAGGTTGCACGGGAATAAGTGAAATATAGAATGAGGAAGATAGTGGTATGTTAGGAAATGAAAAATAAATCAAGGAAGAGGAGCAAAAAATATGAGGACAATATATTAGGGCCAGCAGGGAAAGGTCCCTGAGCAACTAAGACACTTCGGCTCTTCAGGCCTTGCTCCTGGGCATCATTTTCCATGCACATTCCTCTCCCAGGAAGCACAAGTTGAGCAGTAACCATAACACCAAACCGGAAGGCAATCAACTGCCCCAGATGTATTTGAAGAGACGTACAGTTTGACTCCACACCCCCGAGTACTTAACTTTCTCTCATTTTCTCCCCTAGAAGTCCTTTCTCAGTTCAGCATCATCTTTTGTGGGATGATACCTTTTAATTCCCACAAAACAACTTTCTGCAAGATGTAGTACAGTAAAGGATTAAGTCTCTGGAGATCTTCCACCCTAAATTGGCCCAATGTTAGAAAAAAAAATATCCCCTAGGGAAACAAAAATTAAACTCTTCATCTTAAAAAATTCAAACCATTAACTCATATACACACACACACAATCTTTCCCCCAACCCCAGACACAGACAAAAACCAGATTCCTTCTAAAGAGGTGATTCTTAACCTGTCATCCATTATGGATGCCCTGGAGAATCTTATAAAAAGTATGGAAACAGATTCAAGATGATGTGTGCTTTTTATTCCAAGGGGCTATAAATCCCATGCAGTGTGGGATGACTCCATGGCATTAATATTTAGAATACTTGATGTGAAAGAAATGGTCTTCTTTTCCAGAAAGTTAAAGGCAGCTGCTATTCAATCTGTTAACATCTGTCAAATTTCAGAGGTATATCACGGCTTCCAGTTCTCCAATAAGAATCTAATATCTCCCCTCACATCGGAACAGCCACAAGGTAAGATCCAAGGGGAACCCGAGCTAGTGACAGTTCAGTTCAGACTACCTTCTTTGGATGTGGCACCATCAAACAGCTGCATGAGGTGCCCTCTGGGCACAGTCTTCCTGACCCCTTGACGGCTTCTCTGTAACCCTCCCTGCTAGAAGCCCTTTCCCAGGAGAAGCACTGAGCTATGCAAACAGATCGAGCTGTCTTACAAAGAAGATTTCCTTTCCCCTTCGCTGGAGCAGTGGGTGTTTCTCTGTCCTACCGCTTATTCACTAAACTCACCTGGAATGGCCCCAGAAAGTTCTCTGTGAACAGTGAAGCTCCGATTCAGCATGCAAGGAAGACATTAAGGAGAGAGGAAGAGAAAGATACTGCGGCTGAGATGTTTTTTTTTTTCCTTGTCTGCATACCTGCTCACCTAGATCAGCTCTGTGGATTTGAGTTTAAACACTGAAGTTAAAGACTCCCCACAGTGCATTGCTACTGCTGGGAACTGGTCCAGAAGATGCAGGCAAGGATTTAAATCTGTATCTATGTTTTGCCTTTTGTTTTTGTATCAAAAAGAGAGGTGCTGTTACTCTTATTTTAATAAATTACAAAATGCTTCTCCCACTCTTTTCCTGTTCCCACACACCCTCTTCTCTAGTTGCATGGGCTTATGAACTTGATGTTCTCACTGAAGGAGTTAGCTAGAAAAGGAATGGCAGTTTGTTGAGGATGGCTGAAGACAACACTGCTTTGACAAAGCAACACAGTCCTTATCTGGTGTGTGACACATTTGCAATCTATCACATTGGGGGTATGTAGGAGGGGCAGTTCCTGTTGTTTTGCTTATACTAAATCTATCCCTAGGATCCTCTAGGAGGGAACTGATTTACCATCAGGGAAAAAGTGAGGCAGCCTGAAGACCAGCATTTTGATTCCGAGATGCAAAGTTCCCTCTCGTTGACTGAGGACTGTAGCTCAGCCTTCTTAAGAAACACTTTGTCACTAACAGAAAAGAAAGGAGACCCATGAGAAGGGATGCTCCACTTTCTTTGATAGTCTCTATCTCTATGGAGCTCTTCTTGTCCTCGGTGTGAGCAACCTCAATCAGAGAAACTCCACACATCACAGAAAAGCACAGTGGCTGCAGACTAGGAAAGGAAGTTGTTAAATTCTTTACTGGACAAACCTACCATGTCTGCGTGGTTGTTCCAGACTTTCTCAAAGTACAGCACAGGCAAGAATCAAGCACTGTCTATGCAAAGATAGACCATGGATCAAGGGTGCAGTCCGGGCCTGCAGAAGGAACGTACTAATGCAGTTATCTCGAGCAGGGCAACATTTGAAAACACAATTGATTATCATGACTGTGAGCAACAGTTCTTGACATCAGGTGGAAAGTGGCCAGGCTTGTCCCAAAACACCTTACAATACACTGGACAGTGCATAGCTCCTCTTTCTGTGCCCCAAATGTCCATAGTGCCACACTGGAAAATCCTCTGCTTCAGAGAACATGGGGTTGGAGATTTGGGATGCAGGGAAAGATCCATGTGTGGGAACAAGGTAGAGCAGGTGCCTGGGTAGATGCAGTCTGTTCAATCAAACCTTACAGATGCTGCTGATCTAAGAACAGGGTAGGAATAGTTTTGACTGGATATTTTATGGCAGAATCAGACAATAGTATCGATTTGCAGATAAAAACAGAAATACTCCCTCATGGCTGTTGGAAGTTCATGACTCCCCTCTTCTGATGAGTCTTTCATGGTATGCCTGGATATGCGTGACATATCTGCATGACATGACATCGATATGCATGACATCGAAAGGTAACGCAAATAGACTCGGGTCCCTCTGGGCGCCAAAAGTGTGGAAATTGTAAACTAATAAAACCTGAGTCCTTTGTGCATAGTCTTGTTTTGTTTTTGTTCTTTGTTTTTTTTCACAAAGTTACAGATTATTTTCTGTGCAAAACACCTTGTCAGTCGTTGTAGGCTTAAGAGAAAAGGAACATCCCCTGCCCCTCAAGACAGCCGCGCTGGGTCTGAAAATGCCTGCAGAAGGATTTCACAGGAGTTGCTCTTTAAAAACAGGCTGAGGCCCATGAAAGCTCCTGCCTCTCCTCACTAAACATTGCCTACAGTCCCCAGGGTGGGAGCTTATGAGCTGTGCTGTGAGTTTCCCTGCCTCCCCTGTTGCCTGCTTTCTCTATCCTGCATGCTGGACCAGCAAGGAGCATCCCACTTCCTGCTTACTACCCTAGAAACTTCAGCGAGAGGGGCTGGATGCCTAGATTTCTAGGCCTCCTTTCCACAGCACTTCTGGAATTTTGTTGACAGTCACTTCCGCGTCCTTGGCTTGCTGTCTTCAGAGGTCCTGGGCACGGACTCTGGCAGTCCAGCAGGCTGCCCTGTGGGAGACAAGCACGAAGGACCACCTAGGACATCTGTCTCTCTCATCTCATTCTTGCACCGCAGTCCTGCCCTATATTCCTCGGAATTACGTAAGATCTTGAATGGGCCGACTTTGTGAGAGGGACCCAGTGTTCACAGAAGAGACGTTAGTCAGTCCTGGACTTAGAGGATAATTCCACAGAAGCCGAGGCTATTTCTAAAACAGTCCCCAAAAGTAGCTTAAAAAATAATGGAGATTCTAAAACGAGATCATTTCCTGATGAAAACTCTAGAGCTTGTTCAATTTTTAATTCTTTCTGAAATCAGCATGGTTTTCCTCCTTCTTCTAAAGGTATTTAGAAAGAAGTCCTTGACTTTGCCCCTTGGATATATTCGTATGCATGTGATTCCTAATTTCCCACTTCAAATCCTAGTAAACTATATTTTGAGGAATTTGGATACTTATTTCTATTTATCTAACAAATACATAGCAACAAATACTTATTTATCCTTTAAATGTGGTTACAATATAGATCTGTGAGAATATCGTTGTCATTAGCTAAATTCAGTTTTAATTAAGGATTAAGGCAAGGGTTTGTTGTTTTGTTTTACACTGAGACAAGGTCTCACTCTGTAGCCCAAGCTTGACTCAAACCTCATGGTTATTGTCCTGCTTTAGCTTTCTGAGTGCTAGGATTGTACACATGAGCCTCTGTGCCCTGAGCAATTGGGAATTTGAAGTATAATATAATCCAAAACCCAAGAGGACATATTTCTATAAATATTTAGCCATTGAAAGACATTTAAGGAATTGCTCAACATCCTTAGTCATCAGGGAAATGCAAATCAAAACAACTCTGAGATACCATCTTACACCTGTCAGAATGGCTAAGATCAAAAACACTGAAGACAGCTTATATTAGAGAGGATGTGGAGCAAGGGAAACATTCCTCCACTGCTAGGTAGGAGTGCCAACTGGTACAGCCACTTTGGAAATCAGTATGGTGGTTTCTCAGAAAATTGGGAATCAATCTTCCTCAAGACCCAGCTATACCACTCTTGGGCATAAACCCAAGGAATGCTCCATCATACCACAAGGACACATGCTCAACTATGTTCATAGCAGTATTATTCATAATAGCCAGAAACTGGAAACAATCTAGATACCCCTAAACTGAAGAATGGATTTTTTAAAATGTGGTACATATAAACAATGGAGTACTACTCAGCAATAAAAAACAATGACATCATGAAATTTGCAGGCAAATGGATGGAACTAGAAAATATCACCCTGAGTGAGGTAACCCAGACTCAGAAGGACAAAAATGGTATGTACTCACTCATAAGTGGATACTAGATGTAAAGCAAAGGATAACCAGACTACAACCCACAGCTCCAGAGAAGCTAGCTAATAAGGAAGACCCAAAGAGGGACACATGGATAGTCATGGGAAGGAGAAATGGATGAGATCTCCATGAGTAAACTGGGGATGAGGGATGTGCAATGGAGGGTAGGGGATGGGGGATGAGAACATAAGGGAATGGGATGGTTGAGCTGGAACAGGGATGGAGTGGGAAAGCAATGAAAGAGATACCATGATAGAGGGAGACATCATGGGGATAGGAAGAAACTGGGTGCTAGGGAAGTTCCTAGGAATCCCCAAGGATGACCCCAGCTTAGATCACTAGCAATAGTGGAGAGGGTGCCTGAACTGGCTTACCCCAGTGATCAGATCAGTGAATAACCTAACTGTCTTCATAGAGCCTTTCTCCAGTAACTGATGGAAGCAGATGCAGAGATCCACAGCCAAACACCAGGCCAAGCTCAAGGAATCCAGTCGAAGAGAGAGAAGAGGGATTCTATGAGCAAAGGCATCAAGATTATGATGGGGAAACCTACAGAACTAACAAAACCAAACTAATAGGAACTCATGAAATTTAGATCAACAACTGTGGAGTCTGCATGGGACTGGACTAGGCCCTCTGCATAGTGAAACAGTTGTGTAGCTTGATCTGCTTAAGGGGCCCCCTAGCAGTAGGTTCAGAATCCATCCCTGGTACATGAGCTGGCTTTTTGGAGCCCACTACCTATGGTGGGACAACTTGCACAACCTTGATGCAGGGGTGGGGGGCGTTTGGACCTGCCTCTACTGAATATACCTCCCCATGAGAGGCCTTGCCTTCTTGTAAAAGGGAATGGGGGGTGGGCTGGGAGGGAGCAGCTGGAGGGGCTGGAGGAGGGAAGAGGAGGATCTTTGATTGGTATGTAAAATGAATTAAAAATTCTTAATAAAAAATAGAATAAATAAAATAAATGCACTTAAAATACAAAAAAAAACATTTTAGCCATTTAAAAGGCTTGCAGCATTGCTGTAGGGGATATTTCAGTGGCAAAAGACTCATGCCTTTAGAGATAAAAGATATGTCTGTCAGCAATGACTTATAATGGTATTAGAGAATAATAACACATATGTAATAAACATTAAAATGCAAATGTGCCAGAAAGTTGGCCTGCCCAGAGAAATACTCAATGGTTCCTAACTCTACCATATTAGAAAAAAATTCAGTATAGTAGGCTAAAACCTGACCTGTGAATACAATCAGGAAAGTCCCTGGGAGTCATATTCTCCCTTAAAATTTCTCTTATTCCCTGTGCTTACTCTTCTTTCCCGGAGCTCATCTTTAATCTACTGAGGTCAGACTTGTGACCATCTCAATTTGTAAGTTTGGGATTGACTTGACATGATATCTATGGACGATAAACACCCAAACACAAGGCTAAAAACCGGACTTCAGCGAACACTTTCATTATTCAACTGGACTCTAAAGTGACCCCATGTAAATTACATAGTCATAAATCAGTTATTTGAACTTTAGCTGCAACATTCCCAGAGGAACTAACAACTACAAGCAGGGTCAAGTGGAGCTAAAAGGACTTTGCCCCGAGAGATTGGCAATGTGGAGTCTGCCATACTCATCCCACATCCGTAATCAACACCCTTGTCATTCTTTTAATTAAAGCAGACCACCTTTGTACTTAACACAATTCCTATACTCTTCAGCTGTCTAGGCCATGTGAGCAGGGCCCATTCTGAAGCTGGCATGAGTTGGTTCCAGCTGGACCAACTTCTGATGGCTAAAAGGGAAATGGGCACTGTTGGAGATTGGGCATCCACACACTTTGTCTAGAAGTGCATGCCTGGGCTTTCATAGAGTGATTTTAACAGAACTTGGGGAATTATTTGACTTAACATTCTATGTTTTACCAAGTTACTTGTGTAAGACAGTGATCTAGATCGATAAAATCTTAACAAAAGCAACCTTTCTAATTATAAAATTTCTTTTACATTCATTTATACATTTGTGTATATGTGCCCATGTATGCCATGGAGCCCATGTGGAGACCAGAGGACAGCCTGTGGGAGTCAGTTCTCTCTTTCCACCATATTATCAGGTTGAACAACATGGGCCTTTATCCTCTGAGCCATTTCTCTTTCCCCAATTTTACATTTTCTAATAGTCACATTTAAAAAGCTGAACAAGTTGGGGAAGTTAAAGCCAGAAGTATACTCTATATAGTATTGAATCATTATTTTAACAAGTAATCCATATAAAACTTACTGAGTTGTTTTTCATATGAAGCCTTTGAAATCAAACGTGCTTTACATATGGAGCCATTCTGAATTCCCAGTGCTTAGCAGTCCGAGGCAGGAGAAGTTACTAGACTGACAGTACAACTTCAAGTTAGCAATGTGGGCTAGAGTTGTTTTTGTTGCTGAAGGGATAAACAGCCTGAGGAAGGGTAGCATAACTCCTCCCCCCCCCAAAAAAAAACATTGCTAAGCCTCAGAAATTTAGCCTCAGGGATTCAGACAGTGGAATTTAGATCGCCTTGGCTGGTTGTATTAGTAATACTTTTAGAAGGTATAAATGAATCGTGTTGTATTTGCACAAGGGCATATATGCAATAAGAATGATCTACAACTACGTGCAACAATAAGGATTAATGTCTGTTTTAGTTTAATTTCTATTACTGTGATGAAACATCTTGATAATAAGCGACTTGGGGAAGAAAGGGTTTATTTGGTTTCCAGTTCCAGGTTAACGTCCACTATTTCAGAGAGGTCAAGGCAGAAACGAAAGCATTAAATGAGACACAGAGTCAGGGGCAGAAAGGGAATAAACAGATGGTACTAGATTGCCTGATCACTCTCATCTAGCTTTCCCCTGAATATGGAGTTCAGGACCAATTGCTCAGGGAATGGTGCTGCCCACAGCAGGCTGGGTCTTCCTACGTCAATTAAGACAGTCTCTAAAAGATATGCCCACAGACCAAACTGATCTAGGGAATTCCTCATTAGTACTCACTCTCTTCTCTGTTGGTTTCTAGTTGTGCAGAGTTCACTGTTAAAAAACCAGCACATCTTCTAAACATAGTAGTATAGACTGAGAGAAACCAGATACAAAGACTTACATATTTCATACATCCAAATACATATGATACAATTATACACACACAAAGGAAAGAAACAAAAACCACCTGAGGGATAGAATCAACATGAAAGAATATAGTCAATATAATCAATATAGTGTGGCAGTAATTAGAAAGGAGCACGGATATGTATTCATTCTATCAGTTCTGTTCCTCTGGAGAACTCTAATACAACCCTCAAAACATTTTTAGGCCAAGGAAAGTAAAAGTGCTGGGTAGTTATACAAATTTAATGTTGTTGATGGTAAGTCATCAGCATGAATGAAAGAGCTCCAGAAGTGTCCTAGTAGATATTAAGTGCCAAAGTTTCCCAGGTCTTCAGAAAAAAAGAAACTTTTAGCACATCCTAAGTCTGGCCTAGATTTTTGAGTGATATTGATACCAATCTAGTTTCTGGGCCATACATTAGCTTGGTTCTATTTTCTCCGACTCAATGCGGTGAGCATGCACTTGGAAGAGCAAAAATGTTCTTTGCTATTGTTGTTGCTTGAGTTGAAATGCTTAGCTTACTTGTACACAGTAAATACGACTGCTATAAAAACCCCAGTTTCCTTTAGGCTCATATCCATTTAACCTGACAGTGATTCTATGCTTATCTTAGCTATGTTAACTTCCAGCCTATAGGTATGAAAATAGAAGAATCCTAAATGAGTTACCAACAAAGGAAAGAAGCAAAAATTAATTCTAACCCAGATTTCCTCACTAAATGTAACTAGGATGTTATTTATGAACCCTGCATGATTGCCCAGGACCTCCTGTCATATCTTAAAAGGCCTGTTGGAACTTTTTAGTGAGCAAACCTAATTTGTGCTGTAAACAACCTGAATTTTATTGGCTATTCTTGAGGTTCATCCTTCCCTAAGCATGGCATGTGGCTGCTGAGTTTTAGCAAATTCTTTCCTTATTGTGGGACAATAGCCTACATGGAAGGAATTGTGTCAAATTCTGTTGATATTGGTTACAATCTATAACAGAGTCAAACTGGGCAGTCAGAACCAAAATGAGAGAATTAGGTCCTGGCACAGAGTTCAAAGCCAATCATGAATTTGAGCCTCCAAGAAATGAAAGATAAGGAAGTAGGGCATCCTTGAAGGTTAAGAAAAGGAAATGGACCATGGAAAACCACTAGGTTTTATTGATGGGGTGGGTGGAAGTATCATACGTTCCTGTTGGTGTTAGTCTCAAAGTCCTTGGATTCTTGGCTTCCTACCACTAGCCACATCCAGCCACTCTAACCACCTCCATTTCATCTGAGGAGTTACAAAGAACCATAACTCTATACAATTCAAGGATATAAAAACTCCTTTTTTTGCTATTACAGAGAGTTCTTAAGAAGTGACTAATTAATCTTTACAATATCTGTCAGTTAGGTAATAGATTGAAAGAAAGTACATTCCCCCAACGGGAACGAAGCCCATTTTGGAACGGAAGCGTTTTTGTGCTATAACTAGATAGCAGCTTAAGACAGAATGCTGAGGACAACATATGGGACAAAAATCCAAATGGATGGAAGTATGAAAATAGGACAGGAATCTAAAATAGATGTGCACTCAATTTCCTTAGTATAAATAGCATTGTCTGTAATCTCAGGTATATGATTCAGCAATTGCCAATGGAAATAATTTCCAGTATATCAAATGGCAAGGGATGGGCAAAGGATGGGGTATGGGGCCTTGGACTTTCTATCCCTTTTAATAGAACTTGCATCATTGAATGATTTGAAAAATTCTAAAGTTCAAGTTGTTGTATTTTTCATTTTTGTTGGTATGATTGGCACCCAAATCTCCAGAATGAAGTGCAGGGCTGTACACCCCCCTATACCATTCATTCAGATCCCTAAAGGCAGCCAGTCTCAGTCCAGGTGAAACATCACTGAACTATGTGGCTTGTCACACACGTGGGGGCTCATAGACACTCTGCACCCATTCTTCCAGGGTGAATCCCAGCTCCCTATGCAGTCAATCTGCGTTCTCTGCCCCAGCTCTGAGCTCCTTCATGAAGCCCTTATTCTTTTAAAAACATTAATTAATTTTTATGTAATTCAATGTGCATGCGTGTGCGTGTGTGTGTGTGTGTGTGTGTGTGTGTGTTTGTATGTGTGCGCGCGCGTGCACGTACATGCACTGGTGTGCATGTGGCAGTCAAAGGAAAACTTTCAGGAGTTAGTTCTCTCTTCCATCAAGTGGGTCCTGGTGCTAGAACTCAGGCCATCAGGCTTGCTGTCCAGTATCTTATCCACTGAGCCATCCCACTGGTCCATTAAATCCTTATTCTTGAC